TCTCTACAGATGATCAGAGACGTCAGTTTAATTGACTGTGCTAGATTTTCCACTTCATCACAAGAGTCGCAATGACCGAATACTAGTGGTCTTAGTTATCTAAGAGGTATAAACTGCGTTTTCCGTGCTCGGGAGTGGCGCAGGGTGCTGAGTGCTGAGTGCTTTGCAATTACTTGCCAATTTCCCGAGAGTACGGGAAGTTCGTTTGGTTTGTGTACACGATCAGACAGCTCTCGCCGCTCATTTTTTCCTTATATCACCAACCTGAGTCCCTCTCAGGAAAAAAGGAAACCAATCAAGTAGATCACATACCACGTGTCTACCACAGTATTCGTGATTGTGAAATTTATGCTTGCAACATACCAACTGGTATGTGAGTACAAAGATGCGATAGTGACACATGTACAATGTATGAAAGAAGAAAACGCAGTATCCATTGCCCAAGGCACTTTGGCAAGAGCATAGAATTCTTGCAGTTCGTGTGACCACGGGATTGGCACAGGTCTCTTGAGAGAGGATAGGACAAATATGCTTCATCAGATATTCCAAGCTAACATTCTGAGCAATAATGCAATAATAATACAGAAGTCGTTGAATAGAAGGCATCAGAATGGCAACAGCGAGCGAGATGTCATGACGGGGAAATGTGGAGTATGTTCAGCCTTTACATGCGTCTTCTACTCATTCAGATAAGGATTGGTGTTTACGTATCATGGGAAAAGGTCACACGTGCTAGGGGCGGAACAACTGGTATCGATCAGTGGAGCCTGTCAAAGAGAACAAATCCGCAGAGGAACTTGTCTCCGAGTCTAATACCCGCTCTTGATGAAGGTACCAACTATCGTGTGTGCAAGCATGCAGGCACATGGCACAATTCATTCGCGTAAGTCTTTGAGCATTGTGACCCACTCCGGATGGTATAAAAGGAGCTCGCTTCCATTATTTCTGGCAGATATACTCCCAAGCTCTCAAGCATATTGATAATTCCATTACCGCTTGGCTGATCAATCCCGACTCAAACGCCGACTTTCCAGAATGTCTCCTCAAATCTGTCTTCCTATCCTGGCTGCTGTCCTTGTCGCATTGGCCGCAAGGTGAGTTTTTTTTTCACTTCACATCATAAGCGTGAAATCTCTAGACGAACTATCGTATTTCGGATACTGTTTAGTCCATTATTGATTCGGCCCGTACTCAGTCCTAACCCAGATCATCAGGATGAATTCGTTTTCACATCCAATCATATTGCTCGCTATTCAATAATATGATCATTACAGAAAGAAGGATATACAATTGCCCAGTTGTTATCACTCGTACCTGATCATCAGCATCAGAGTTTATTTGTCTTGTGGGCAGCCTGTAACAATTGCCTGTGCTCTATTGTTTTTTACACAGCCCATCGGAAGCCAACCCCATTATCTATGGAAGTATGACGTGTCACAATCGCAGCGATGTTAACCAGATCCTGCATGAGGAGGACTACACCAATGGATTCTTTGCTTTTTTCCAGTTCGGACGCGACACAGCCAGCAACGAGTATTACCCGAACATGGAGTGTAACTTGGATTTCAGCGCCATTGGTGGTCGTCCGGTGAGCGTCATCTTCCATCCATGTACCCTGCCTATTGGAAATACATGCAGTCAGGATTCATTGACGGTCAGCACTGCTGCATCCAATCCACACACTGTGGTCTGCTCCGACGATCCAGCTGCTGACCCAGGCGTGATCGATACTGGTGATTCCAGCATGTCCATCAAGTTCCTCACTGACGCGAGTGGGCAGACTGTGGGCTGCGCCGGGTCCCTGTGGGGCGTCCGTAAGTAATGTTTTCTTCTCAACTGCATTTACAATGAGCAGAGAGTATACAATGTATACTTGAATAGTGAAATGCATAATATAATTATTATGAATGATCTACGCAAAGCAGAGGTAATGAAGGTAACAGGAATCAAGGGGACATTCGATAGCAGCACTCCAGTCGAATTTTTTCCCTTAGCCACCCATCAGTATTTCTTGTACAATGTATAATAGTGACTTCAAGCATTTGAGGAAGCTCTTGCAGCCCCATGGTTTCTAAGGATTTCAGAACACGTGCAATAATATATTATATTATTGATCTGTATATGTTTTGCTAAACTGACTATCCCTGCAATTCACCTGTTGAATTACCTGAATATAAATGAGCCTATTTGCGGCAATCTATAACGTTATCTCTCTGCTTTTTGTATGTTGCTATCTGTGTCCTTAGCGCCATCATAAGAAGAGAAGGGTGCTCAAAGACATGGCCGTAAATCTGCATTGTTGAGAACGAGGACGTCCTGACATCCAAGCATCAAACTGCCTTAGCGTAGATCACCAAACATAGTATATTTGAAAATCAAGATGTGCATGATCTCGTACTAATGCTACACAGCCCTTTGTAATTCACTCTGTCTCGCATCTACTAATAGTTATACATGTAGTATCCCTGTTTTGGCATTGTTGCATCATTGCATGCTCAGAGTTTGATCTTGGCCGAAGTGAGGGAGAATCTTACTTTGCTTCCAAATTCTATATAATTATTATGGTTATTTGGCAAGCTGAGTGAGGAGTTCTGACCCATTGTCTTTTATATAATTCCTTAACCAGTGTCCAGCAGAATTCAGAATTTACCAACCTATAAGTTCTTCTCCTATCTTCACAGCTCGCTAAATTCGTTATTATCATCAGTGCGTGTTCATCATCACATTATCATACATGGGCTGTTGATCATCTAATCATCACAGTCCGTATTCCTAAAATCTCTGAACACAATGCTAATAAAGTCTGTCATCCTGACTCACACCTCCTTGTAGAAGTTGTTGAAGTGAAGCCCTGCGTGACAGAGCCCAATCCCTCACTATCCCTTATCTGTTATCACCTGCAGGGTTGACGTCCCAGACCGGCTTAGTCTCTTTTCTCTGTTCTCTTAGTACCGGTAACAGTTAGTGTGCTATTGATATTCAAACCCAGTACAATACTCATCGCAAAGATTATAGCCTCGTGTTGCTTACCTACATTGGCCAGAAATGTGGAGATTGCCATCACTAGTCCACAAGGAATACGTCGAAATTCACTTGGCAAGCCCGGCCGTGCCAGCATGAAAGACGTCGTTAGGGTACATTTTCATAACAATAACACAAACACACACACACACACACACACACACACACACACACACACACACACACACACACGCACACAGAAACATCGGGTGTTAGCGGTTGTCGAAACGAACCCCATAAACTGAGTGCATAGGATTCATCCCGTCACCGGCCAGCCTCGACCCCCGGAATCCCCAAGCACCAAAGTTGCATACTACCCATGGGAGGCCATGAAATGACTATCAGAATCAGAAAACAGTGTCACTCCTGCCAACAGATCGACAAAATAATGACAACAAAAGCCAAGGCTTGCACAACGCGTGAGCGATGGGCCCCAAACCGCACCCATCTCTCCCGCGCCCGATTAAGCCAGTCCCGATCGCTACTCCTAATCCCGCCTCCCAACCTAGCGAATACACCTTCCCTCTATATTCATGAAAGGAGGCGACACCGCCTGTTTGTGTTGCGATGTTAAAATAAACTTCAACACACACACACACAATCTCAAACTCATGTGCTTGTCGTCCGTCGTGTTGCTGAGCTGGAACCTATAGGCTCTGTGTCATTAATTATGGAGATCACCTCGCTCCTTTTATTCAGACAGGATTAGCTATCAATTGAGCTGACTTTCCTTTGCGCTACTGAAACTGTATATTTATCGCCTCTACCCACTTTCTCAGATATATTCATGCACTGTGTGCATGTGTATTGTATATGACTAACATTATGGCTATCTTTGTTAGGTTTCTGAAGATTATTTCGAACCCAAAACTCTGAGTAATAACAAAGAAGGACTTGGTTGTACCACGCTTGCTGTGTGAGAATTTTATTGCTGGGCCTGTCCACCGACCAGAGAGAACCTACTTCTTCATGTCAAAATCCATACCACTATTTGAATATTAGAAAAGAGAGGACCATAAGTTTACAAGTTATCTGTTTTGTCCAGAACTAGCGATTATAAGCAATATAATGGTGAGTCAGAACGTGCAACAATTAGCACAAAACTGACTTATGTGATACTGACATTCAATGACCAGATGCTTAGCTGCCTAGCTGCATCACATCTTCTACACTTGTAAACTTATGGTCCCCTATTAATTTTTTCAACTTCAATCCTTGGCTCTCCATCCGAATATTTGAATACTTTCGTATTTCGAAATCCTTTACAAGTATAATAATCCCCATTTACAACGCTCTCTCTATTATGCTTGCATGTTTCGCACTCTCATGTCATAAGTATTTCCTTTCTTCGTCATTCTGTGAGAGCTTGGACAATTCACTTGTCCCTGCAAGTAGGCAGAAACAGTGCCAGTTCATTCTTGCGAAGTAAAATATAGTACACCAACCAACCATGCACTATACGCAGCCTGAGGATTATATTGGATACCTGCCTAGTATCTATGTATCTATCGATCTCTCCCTTTCAGCTGCTTGCTTCATGTCAAGGGCAACAAAATTCACTATCTTTTACGACAGGAGGACGCACGGGTAACGGTAAACTGACCGGGACACTGGTTGATGATCAATTTGCATGGGAATTCTTTCATTGCTTTGAAATCTCAAATACAGCACAAACAAACGTTTTAGAAGATGTTGGCATGAGTTTAGTATCGTTTCAATCGTTTCCGGCTTCGGGCTTCGAGTATCATGTGCACAGAGATATAACATCTGACTGGGGAAGGCTTAGAAAATATGGCTTCAACATACTCAACATGCAGTTCAGAATCCTCCCCCCCCCCCCCCTACACATGTTGATGAGACCTAACAAAGTGGAAACGGCTAGCTGTCCAGGAGGTACAGCCCACTCTACAGTATACATGTAGTCCGGTCAACACATGCCCAACACAACACTCTTCACTGTCATATCGCGTCACCAGTACTCCATACAGGTATTCTTCATCAGATCAGATTGCTGAACGGAAACAAATGAAAGAAACATCAAGTATAATTATTGCTTGCAAAGCGAAAGGAGGAAATATGGAATGCAAAAGTATAGTTTTCACTCAGTGACTGGGATGCAAATACAAAGTACTGTACATGAATTACCATCAAACGTGCCTTGGAAGACAAACATGTATACTACAATACCTGTACATCTACCCGTATATTAGAATTTCAAGAGCACAGTGACAAAAATTCGGGAGCAATCCAGGGGCAAGCATGTTTGCTACTTTGTTAAAGAAAGAACAAGATGTACATTGTAAACATCATAGTACACGCTACTTGATTACATCATAATACATGATTGTATGTTTATGTCATGCATGCTATTGGTATTCTCTGTGTCAATGCATGTAAATATACATGACATAGAAAGAGGAGGCAGGGCGGAAGCTGGAATGAAAGGTACACAGATTGGTTGGAAAGAAATTTTGGTTCTGAATAATTATGTCAATTATGATGCTTCTATACAAATGCAAACGATATGATTCAGCTTTGCATGGTGATTGAGACAGGATGCCTTAGTGCTCCGTGTAGTGGCAGGTTTGCACGATGCCTTTTGAGCCTCTCTACTGAAGTAGTTTAGGACGGAGCTGAGGAAACGCAACACATAGAAACGCAAAAAGACACAACGTTTACTAACAGTGGCTAGTGAACGACAAAACTCGGAATTTCTGTACAAACATTAGCATACAATAATATTATTGCACCATTGCATGTTAGTGGCTTATTGCATGTTGACGGCAGGACAATGACAGTTGCGATGAGACCCGACTAGCTCATCGAACATGTACTGTGTATAATTATGTATCACGAGCGAATCACAGAATTATAACAACAGTCAATTGCAGGGAGCAGCTCTCGGATTTATCGAACCTTGACTCCACAAGGAACCTGGGTGATGATGGCTCGATTCCTTTCCGTTTTCCGAATAGGCTTGGGTAAGCCAAGAGGGGTTACGACTGTCATCTGTGTATTACAAGAAATAGAATAGTATTACTTACGGACGCCCCACATGAATCCCGCGCAACCAACTGTCTGCCCACTCGCGTCAGTGAGGAACTTGATGGACATGCTGGAATCACCAGAATCGATCACGCCTGGTTCAGCAGCTGGATCGTCGGAGCAGACCACAGTGTGTGGATTGGATGCAGCAGTGCTGACCGTTAATGAATCCTGACTGCATGTATTTCCAATAGGCAGGGTACATGGATGGAAGATGACGCTCACCGGACGACCACCAATGGCACTGTAATCCAAGTTACATTCCATGTTCGGGTAATACTCGTTGCTGGCTGTGTCGCGTCCGAATTGGAAGAAGGCAAACTGTCCATTGGTGTAGTCCTCCTGATGTAAGATCTGATTGACATCGCTGCGGTTATGGCACGTCATGCTACCATACACAATAGCTTCTGTAGGCCTGCAATAGACAGACCGCACAAATATCAACTTCAATAAGAAATAACTGCAACTTCAAGCTCTTACCCACGATTATCAGGACTCCAGAGAATTGCCTAAACAAGTCTTCTCGCTTTCTCATCAAGTGAAAGAACCAATGAATACTACGAATTACTAGCAACACAAGGGTGGTAATCATCAAAAATATGAAAATGACAAAAGTTAAGCGAATAGATAGCATGCAATAATAAAAGAAAGAAAGTAATGTGAGGTGGGAAGTGACAAACGAGGGTCTATAATACACTTACCTGCAAAGTACTGCAACCAGAACAGCCACCAGAATGGGAAGAAGGGTTTTCAAAGACATACTGAATGTTCTTAGTTCTCAAGAACGGATTATAGCGAAGTATTTTGGTAAGAGGCAAGTTGACCTTACAACACAGAAATGGGACAATTATGACAATAGCAGTCAAAACTAGCGTCTTTTTATACACGCTGCCAAACGCCTGATGCGACAATGCGACTAGCATTATAACCGAACCATTCAGCGCTGCTTCGATCTTTTCTCATGTCCGTAATAAGATGAGTGGGGAAGATGCAAAGACAGTATCTCAAAGGATATGCAGAGAGGTATGTCACAATCATAATGTGTACGATGCATGCTTCTCGTTTGATGAAGGTTAGTGCACAGGGTAGCTCCTTGGGATATGTGAGTGAAAGTCTGGAATTGCACAATCCAGGAAACAAGTACTGGACATTGGTAGCACAGAGACTAGTAGACTGGAAGAGACACATGCGATTGCAGGTGCCAAGTCAGGTCCCGACAACACCACGTAGATAAAAGTGTGTACTGCGGAATGAGGATAGTCTTCTTTCCAGCTCAACCCCACGTCACTCAGTCCTACATCCGTCCTTCGCAATGATTGTAAAGATCGTGAAATTTGTCTCTACACACGTACATCCTACGTGTGCTTTGGAGCGTTTCATATTATTGTTTACAATGTTTAGCCCTCTCCCCAGAGACATACAGAAATGGTTCGTTTGATCACCACACCACAAAATCATCAGTGCCAGCACGTTCCAAGTAACACAGCACACACGTTTTAGCGAAAGGAGGAGAATTCCTCCATTTGTGAGTACACGCATCGCGCTCATACCCTGAGGTACTCTACAGATGATCAGAGACGTCAGTTTAATTGACTGTGCTAGATTTTCCACTTCATCACAAGAGTCGCAATGACCGAATACTAGTGGTCTTAGTTATCTAAGAGGTAAACTGCGTTTTCCGTGCTCGGGAGTGGCGCAGGGTGCTGAGTGCTGAGTGCTTTGCAATTACTTGCCAATTTCCCGAGAGTACGGGAAGTTCGTTTGGTTTGTGTACACGATCAGACAGCTCTCGCCGCTCATTTTTCCTTATATCACCAACCTGAGTCCCTCTCAGGAAAAAAGGAAACCAATCAAGTAGATCACATACCACGTGTCTACCACAGTATTCGTGATTGTGAAATTTATGCTTGCAACATACCAACTGTTATGTGAGTACAAAGATGCGATAGTGACACATGTACAATGTATGAAAGAAGAAAACGCAGTATCCATTGCCCAAGGCACTTTGGCAAGAGCATAGAATTCTTGCAGTTCGTGTGACCACGGGATTGGCACAGGTCTCTTGAGAGAGGATAGGACAAAATGCTTCATCAGATATTCCAAGCTAACATTCTGAGCAATAATGCAATATTAATACAGAAGTCATTGAATAGAAGGCATCAGAATGGCAACAGCGAGCGAGATGTCATGACGGGGAAATGTGGAGTATGTTCAGCCTTTACATGCGTCTTCTACTCATTCAGATAAGGATTGGTGTTTACGTATCATGGGAAAGGTCACACGTGCTAGGGGTGGAACAACTAGTATCGATCAGTGGAGCCTGTCAAAGAGAACAAATCCGCAGAGGAACGTGTCTCCGAGTCTAATACCCGCTCTTGATGAAGGTACCAACTATCGTGTTTGCAAGCATGCAGGCACATGGCACAATTCATTCGCGTAAGTCTTTGAGCATTGTGACCCACTCCAGATGGTATAAAAGGAGCTCGCTTCCATTATTTCTGGCAGATATCCTCCCAAGCTCTCAAGCATATTGATAATTCCATTACCGCTTGGCTGATCAATCCCGACTCAAACGCCGACTTTCCAGAATGTCTCCTCAAATCTGTCTTCCTATCCTGGCTGCTGTCCTTGTCGCATTGGCCGCAAGGTGAGTTTTTTTTCACTTCACATCATAAGTGTGAAATCTCTAGACGAACTATCGTATTTCGGATACTGTTTAGTCCATTATTGATTCGGCCCCGTACTCAGTCCTAACCCAGATCATCAGGATGAATTCGTTTTCACATCCAATCATATTGCTCGCTATTCAATAATATGATCATTACACAAAGAAGGATATACAATTGCCCAGTTGTTATCACTCGTACCTGATCATCAGCATCAGAGTTTATTTGTCTTGCGGGCAGCCTGTAACAATTGCCTGTGCTCTATTGTTTTTTACACAGCCCATCGGAAGCCAACCCCATTATCTATGGAAGTATGACGTGTCACAATCGCAGCGATGTTAACCAGATCCTGCATCAGGAGGACTACACCAATGGCTTCTTTGCTTTTTTCCAGTTCGGACGCGACACAGCCAGCCATGAGTATTACCCGAACATGGAGTGTAACTTGGATTACAGCGCCATTGGTGGTCGTCCGGTGAGCGTCATCTTCCATCCATGTACCCTGCCTATTGGAAATACATGCAGTCAGGATTCATTGACGGTCAGCACTGCTGCATCCAATCCACACACTGTGGTCTGCTCCGACGATCCAGCTGCTGACCCAGGCGTGATCGATACTGGTGATTCCAGCATGTCCATCAAGTTCCTCACTGACGCGAGTGGGCAGACTGTGGGCTGCGCCGGGTCCCTGTGGGGCGTCCGTAAGTAATGTTTTCTTCTCAACTGCATTTACAATGAGCAGAGAGTATACAATGTATACTTGAATAGTGAAATGCATAATATAATTATTATGAATGATCTACACAAAGCAGAGGTAATGAAGGTAACAGGAATCAAGGGGACATTCGATAGCAGCACTCCAGTCGAATTTTTTTCCCTTAGCCACCCATCAGTATTTCTTGTACAATGTATAATAGTGACTTCAAGCATTTGAGGAAGCTCTTGCAGCCCCATGGTTTCTGAGGATTTCAGAACACGTGCAATAATATATTATATTATTGATCTGTATATGTTTTGCTAAACTGACTATCCCTGCAATTCACCTGTTGAATTACCTGAATATAAATGCGCCTATTTGCGGCAATCTATAACGTTATCTCTCTGCTTTTTGCATGTTGCTATCTGTGTCCTTAGCGCCATCATAAGAAGAGAAGGGTGCTCAAAGACATGGCCGTAACTCTGCATTGTTGAGAACGAGGACGTCCTGACATCCAAGCATCAAACTGCCTTAGCGTAGATCACCAAACGTAGTATATTTGAAAATCAAGATGTGCATGATCTCGTACTAATGCTACACAGCCCTTTGTAATTCACTCTGCCTCGCTTCTACTAATCGTTATACATGATTGTAGTATCCCTGTTTTGGCATTGTTGCATCATTGCATGCTCTGAGTTTGATCTTGGCCGAATTGAGGGAGAATCTTACTTTGCTTCCAAATTCTATAATAATTATTATGGTTATTTGGCAAGCTAAGTGAGGAGTTCTGACCCATTGTCTTTTATATAATTCCTTAACCAGTGTCCAGCAGAATTCAGAATTTACCAACCTATAAGTTCTTCTCCTATCTTCACAGCTCGCTAAATTCGTTATTATCATCAGTGCGTGTTCGTCATCACATTATTATACATGGGCTGTTGATCATCTAATCATCACAGTCCGTATTCCTAAAATCTCTGAACACAATGCTAATAAAGTCTGTCATCCTGACTCACACCTCCTTGTAGAAGTTGTTGAAGTGAAGCCCTGCGTGACAGAGCCCAATCCCTCACTATCCCTTATCTGTTATCACCTGCAGGGTTGACGTCCCAGACCGGCTTAGTCTCTTTTCTCTGTTCTCTTAGTACCGGTAACAGTTAGTGTGCTATTGATATTCAAACCCAGTACAATACTCATCGCAAAGATTATAGCCTCGTGTTGCTTACCTACATTGGCCAGAAATGTGGAGATTGCCATCACTAGTCCACAAGGAATACGTCGAAATTCACTTGGCAAGCCCGGCCGTGCCAGCATGAAAGACGTCGTTAGGGTACATTTTCATAACAATAACACAAACACACACACACACACACACACACACACACACACACACACACACACACACACACGCACACAGAAACATCGGGTGTTAGCGGTTGTCGAAACGAACCCCATAAACTGAGTGCATAGGATTCATCCCGTCACCGGCCAGCCTCGACCCCCGGAATCCCCAAGCACCAAAGTTGCATACTACCCATGGGAGGCCATGAAATGACTATCAGAATCAGAAAACAGTGTCACTCCTGCCAACAGATCGACAAAATAATGACAACAAAAGCCAAGGCTTGCACAACGCGTGAGCGATGGGCCCCAAACCGCACCCATCTCTCCCGCGCCCGATTAAGCCAGTCCCGATCGCTACTCCTAATCCCGCCTCCCAACCTAGCGAATACACCTTCCCTCTATATTCATGAAAGGAGGCGACACCGCCTGTTTGTGTTGCGATGTTAAAATAAACTTCAACACACACACACACAATCTCAAACTCATGTGCTTGTCGTCCGTCGTGTTGCTGAGCTGGAACCTATAGGCTCTGTGTCATTAATTATGGAGATCACCTCGCTCCTTTTATTCAGACAGGATTAGCTATCAATTGAGCTGACTTTCCTTTGCGCTACTGAAACTGTATATTTATCGCCTCTACCCACTTTCTCAGATATATTCATGCACTGTGTGCATGTGTATTGTATATGACTAACATTATGGCTATCTTTGTTAGGTTTCTGAAGATTATTTCGAACCCAAAACTCTGAGTAATAACAAAGAAGGACTTGGTTGTACCACGCTTGCTGTGTGAGAATTTTATTGCTGGGCCTGTCCACCGACCAGAGAGAACCTACTTCTTCATGTCAAAATCCATACCACTATTTGAATATTAGAAAAGAGAGGACCATAAGTTTACAAGTTATCTGTTTTGTCCAGAACTAGCGATTATAAGCAATATAATGGTGAGTCAGAACGTGCAACAATTAGCACAAAACTGACTTATGTGATACTGACATTCAATGACCAGATGCTTAGCTGCCTAGCTGCATCACATCTTCTACACTTGTAAACTTATGGTCCCCTATTAATTTTTTCAACTTCAATCCTTGGCTCTCCATCCGAATATTTGAATACTTTCGTATTTCGAAATCCTTTACAAGTATAATAATCCCCATTTACAACGCTCTCTCTATTATGCTTGCATGTTTCGCACTCTCATGTCATAAGTATTTCCTTTCTTCGTCATTCTGTGAGAGCTTGGACAATTCACTTGTCCCTGCAAGTAGGCAGAAACAGTGCCAGTTCATTCTTGCGAAGTAAAATATAGTATACCAACCAACCATGCACTATACGCAGCCTGAGGATTATATTGGATACCTGCCTAGTATCTATGTATCTATCGATCTCTCCCTCTCAGCTGCTTGCTTCATGTCAAGGGCAACAAAATTCACTATCTTTTACGACAGGAGGACGCACGGGTAACGGTAAACTGACCGGGACACTGGTTGATGATCAATTTGCATGGGAATTCTTTCATTGCTTTGAAATCTCAAATACAGCACAAACAAACGTTTTAGAAGATGTTGGCATGAGTTTAGTATCGTTTCAATCGTTTCCGGCTTCGGGCTTCGAGTATCATGTGCACAGAGATATAACATCTGACTGGGGAAGGCTTAGAAAATATGGCTTCAACATACTCAACATGCAGTTCAGAATCCTCCCCCCCCCCCCCCCTACACATGTTGATGAGACCTAACAAAGTGGAAACGGCTAGCTGTCCAGGAGGTACAGCCCACTCTACAGTATACATGTAGTCCGGTCAACACATGCCCAACACAACACTCTTCACTGTCATATCGCGTCACCAGTACTCCATACAGGTATTCTTCATCAGATCAGATTGCTGAACGGAAACAAATGAAAGAAACATCAAGTATAATTATTGCTTGCAAAGCGAAAGGAGGAAATATGGAATGCAAAAGTATAGTTTTCACTCAGTGACTGGGATGCAAATACAAAGTACTGTACATGAATTACCATCAAACGTGCCTTGGAAGACAAACATGTATACTACAATACCTGTACATCTACCCGTATATTAGAATTTCAAGAGCACAGTGACAAAAATTCGGGAGCAATCCAGGGGCAAGCATGTTTGCTACTTTGTTAAAGAAAGAACAAGATGTACATTGTAAACATCATAGTACACGCTACTTGATTACATCATAATACATGATTGTATGTTTATGTCATGCATGCTATTGGTATTCTCTGTGTCAATGCATGTAAATATACATGACATAGAAAGAGGAGGCAGGGCGGAAGCTGGAATGAAAGGTACACAGATTGGTTGGAAAGAAATTTTGGTTCTGAATATGTCAATTATGATGCTTCTATACAAATGCAAACGATATGATTCAGCTTTGCATGGTGATTGAGACAGGATGCCTTAGTGCTCCGTGTAGTGGCAGGTTTGCACGATGCCTTTTGAGCCTCTCTACTGAAGTAGTTTAGGACGGAGCTGAGGAAACGCAACACATAGAAACGCAAAAAGACACAACGTTTACTAACAGTGGCTAGTGAACGACAAAACTCGGAATTTCTGTACAAACATTAGCATACAATAATATTATTGCACCATTGCATGTTAGTGGCTTATTGCATGTTGACGGCAGGACAATGACAGTTGCGATGAGACCCGACTAGCTCATCGAACATGTACTGTGTATAATTATGTATCACGAGCGAATCACAGAATTATAACAACAGTCAATTGCAGGGAGCAGCTCTCGGATTTATCGAACCTTGACTCCACAAGGAACCTGGGTGATGATGGCTCGATTCCTTTCCGTTTTCCGAATAGGCTTGGGTAAGCCAAGAGGGGTTACGACTGTCATCTGTGTATTACAAGAAATAGAATAGTATTACTTACGGACGCCCCACATGAATCCCGCGCAACCAACTGTCTGCCCACTCGCGTCAGTGAGGAACTTGATGGACATGCTGGAATCACCAGAATCGATCACGCCTGGTTCAGCAGCTGGATCGTCGGAGCAGACCACAGTGTGTGGATTGGATGCAGCAGTGCTGACCGTTAATGAATCCTGACTGCATGTATTTCCAATAGGCAGGGTACATGGATGGAAGATGACGCTCACCGGACGACCACCAATGGCACTGTAATCCAAGTTACATTCCATGTTCGGGTAATACTCGTTGCTGGCTGTGTCGCGTCCGAATTGGAAGAAGGCAAACTGTCCATTGGTGTAGTCCTCCTGATGTAAGATCTGATTGACATCGCTGCGGTTATGGCACGTCATGCTACCATACACAATAGCTTCTGTAGGCCTGCAATAGACAGACCGCACAAATATCAACTTCAATAAGAAATAACTGCAACTTCAAGCTCTTACCCACGATTATCAGGACTCCAGAGAATTGCCTAAACAAGTCTTCTCGCTTTCTCATCAAGTGAAAGAACCAATGAATACTACGAATTACTAGCAACACAAGGGTGGTAATCATCAAAAATATGAAAATGACAAAAGTTAAGCGAATAGATAGCATGCAATAATAAAAGAAAGAAAGTAATGTGAGGTGGGAAGTGACAAACGAGGGTCTATAATACACTTACCTGCAAAGTACTGCAACCAGAACAGCCACCAGAATGGGAAGAAGGGTTTTCAAAGACATACTGAATGTTCTTAGTTCTCAAGAACGGATTATAGCGAAGTATTTTGGTAAGAGGCAAGTTGACCTTACAACACAGAAATGGGACAATTATGACAATAGCAGTCAAAACTAGCGTCTTTTTATACACGCTGCCAAACGCCTGATGCGACAATGCGACTAGCATTATAACCGAACCATTCAGCGCTGCTTCGATCTTTTCTCATGTCCGTAATAAGATGAGTGGGGAAGATGCAAAGACAGTATCTCAAAGGATATGCAGAGAGGTATGTCACAATCATAATGTGTACGATGCATGCTTCTCGTTTGATGAAGGTTAGTGCACAGGGTAGCTCCTTGGGATATGTAAGTGAAAGTCTGGAATTGCACAATCCAGGAAACAAGTACTGGACATTGGTAGCACAGAGACTAGTAGACTGGAAGAGACACATGCGATTGCAGGTGCCAAGTCAGGTCCCGACAACACCACGTAGATAAAAGTGTGTACTGCGGAATGAGGATAGTCTTCTTTCCAGCTCAACCCCACGTCACTCAGTCCTACATCCGTCCTTCGCAATGATTGTAAAGATCGTGAAATTTGTCTCTACACACGTACATCCTACGTGTGCTTTGGAGCGTTTCATATTATTGTTTACAATGTTTAGCCCTCTCCCCAGAGACATACAGAAATGGTTCGTTTGATCACCACACCACAAAATCATCAGTGCCAGCACGTTCCAAGTAACACAGCACACACGTTTTAGCGAAAGGAGGAGAATTCCTCCATTTGTGAGTACACGCATCGCGCTCATACCCTGAGGTACTCTACAGATGATCAGAGACGTCAGTTTAATTGACTGTGCTAGATTTTCCACTTCATCACAAGAGTCGCAATGACCGAATACTAGTGGTCTTAGTTATCTAAGAGGTAAACTGCGTTTTCCGTGCTCGGGAGTGGCGCAGGGTGCTGAGTGCTGAGTGCTTTGCAATTACTTGCCAATTTCCCGAGAGTACGGGAAGTTCGTTTGGTTTGTGTACACGATCAGACAGCTCTCGCCGCTCATTTTTCCTTATATCACCAACCTGAGTCCCTCTCAGGAAAAAAGGAAACCAATCAAGTAGATCACATACCACGTGTCTACCACAGTATTCGTGATTGTGAAATTTATGCTTGCAACATACCAACTGTTATGTGAGTACAAAGATGCGATAGTGACACATGTACAATGTATGAAAGAAGAAAACGCAGTATCCATTGCCCAAGGCACTTTGGCAAGAGCATAGAATTCTTGCAGTTCGTGTGACCACGGGATTGGCACAGGTCTCTTGAGAGAGGATAGGACAAAATGCTTCATCAGATATTCCAAGCTAACATTCTGAGCAATAATGCAATATTAATACAGAAGTCATTGAATAGAAGGCATCAGAATGGCAACAGCGAGCGAGATGTCATGACGGGGAAATGTGGAGTATGTTCAGCCTTTACATGCGTCTTCTACTCATTCAGATAAGGATTGGTGTTTACGTATCATGGGAAAGGTCACACGTGCTAGGGGTGGAACAACTAGTATCGATCAGTGGAGCCTGTCAAAGAGAACAAATCCGCAGAGGAACGTGTCTCCGAGTCTAATACCCGCTCTTGATGAAGGTACCAACTATCGTGTTTGCAAGCATGCAGGCACATGGCACAATTCATTCGCGTAAGTCTTTGAGCATTGTGACCCACTCCAGATGGTATAAAAGGAGCTCGCTTCCATTATTTCTGGCAGATATCCTCCCAAGCTCTCAAGCATATTGATAATTCCATTACCGCTTGGCTGATCAATCCCGACTCAAACGCCGACTTTCCAGAATGTCTCCTCAAATCTGTCTTCCTATCCTGGCTGCTGTCCTTGTCGCATTGGCCGCAAGGTGAGTTTTTTTTCACTTCACATCATAAGTGTGAAATCTCTAGACGAACTATCGTATTTCGGATACTGTTTAGTCCATTATTGATTCGGCCCCGTACTCAGTCCTAACCCAGATCATCAGGATGAATTCGTTTTCACATCCAATCATATTGCTCGCTATTCAATAATATGATCATTACACAAAGAAGGATATACAATTGCCCAGTTGTTATCACTCGTACCTGATCATCAGCATCAGAGTTTATTTGTCTTGCGGGCAGCCTGTAACAATTGCCTGTGCTCTATTGTTTTTTACACAGCCCATCGGAAGCCAACCCCATTATCTATGGAAGTATGACGTGTCACAATCGCAGCGATGTTAACCAGATCCTGCATCAGGAGGACTACACCAATGGCTTCTTTGCTTTTTTCCAGTTCGGACGCGACACAGCCAGCCATGAGTATTACCCGAACATGGAGTGTAACTTGGATTACAGCGCCATTGGTGGTCGTCCGGTGAGCGTCATCTTCCATCCATGTACCCTGCCTATTGGAAATACATGCAGTCAGGATTCATTGACGGTCAGCACTGCTGCATCCAATCCACACACTGTGGTCTGCTCCGACGATCCAGCTGCTGACCCAGGCGTGATCGATACTGGTGATTCCAGCATGTCCATCAAGTTCCTCACTGACGCGAGTGGGCAGACTGTGGGCTGCGCCGGGTCCCTGTGGGGCGTCCGTAAGTAATGTTTTCTTCTCAACTGCATTTACAATGAGCAGAGAGTATACAATGTATACTTGAATAGTGAAATGCATAATATAATTATTATGAATGATCTACACAAAGCAGAGGTAATGAAGGTAACAGGAATCAAGGGGACATTCGATAGCAGCACTCCAGTCGAATTTTTTTCCCTTAGCCACCCATCAGTATTTCTTGTACAATGTATAATAGTGACTTCAAGCATTTGAGGAAGCTCTTGCAGCCCCATGGTTTCTGAGGATTTCAGAACACGTGCAATAATATATTATATTATTGATCTGTATATGTTTTGCTAAACTGACTATCCCTGCAATTCACCTGTTGAATTACCTGAATATAAATGCGCCTATTTGCGGCAATCTATAACGTTATCTCTCTGCTTTTTGCATGTTGCTATCTGTGTCCTTAGCGCCATCATAAGAAGAGAAGGGTGCTCAAAGACATGGCCGTAACTCTGCATTGTTGAGAACGAGGACGTCCTGACATCCAAGCATCAAACTGCCTTAGCGTAGATCACCAAACGTAGTATATTTGAAAATCAAGATGTGCATGATCTCGTACTAATGCTACACAGCCCTTTGTAATTCACTCTGCCTCGCTTCTACTAATCGTTATACATGATTGTAGTATCCCTGTTTTGGCATTGTTGCATCATTGCATGCTCTGAGTTTGATCTTGGCCGAAGTGAGGGAGAATCTTACTTTGCTTCCAAATTCTATAATAATTATTATGGTTATTTGGCAAGCTAAGTGAGGAGTTCTGACCCATTGTCTTTTATATAATTCCTTAACCAGTGTCCAGCAGAATTCAGAATTTACCAACCTATAAGTTCCTCTCCTATCTTCACAGCTCGCTAAATTCGTTATTATCATCAGTGCGTGTTCGTCATCACATTATCATACATGGGCTGTTGATCATCTAATCATCACAGTCCTTATTCCTAAAATCTCTGAACAAAATGCTAATAAAGTCTGTCATCCTGACTCACACCTCCTTGTAGAAGTTGTTGAAGTGAAGTATCCTGCGTGACAGAGCCCAATCCCTCACTATCACTTATCTGTTATCACCTGCAGGGTTGACGTCCCAGACCGGCTTAGTCTCTGTTCTCTGTTCTCTTAGTACCGGTAACAGTTAGTGTGCCATTGATATTCAAACCCAGTACAATACTCATCGCAAAGATTATAGCCTCGTGTTGCTTACCTACATTGGCCAGAAATGTGGAGATTGCCCTCACTAGTCCACAAGGAATACGTCGAAATTCACTTGGCAAGCCCGGCCGTGCCAGCATGAAAGACGTCGTTATGGTTCATTTTCATAACAATAATACAAACACACACACACACACACACACACACACACACACACACACACACAGAAATACAGAAATATCGGGTGTTAGCGGTTGTCGAAACGAACCCCATAAACTGAGTGCATAGGATTCATCCCGTCACCGGCCAGCCTCGAGCCCCGGAATCCCCAAGCACCAAAGTTGCATACTACCCATGGGAGGCCATGAAGTGACTATCAGAATCAGAAAACAGTATCACCCCTGCCAAGAGATCGACAAAATGACAACAAAAGCCAAGGCTTGCACAACGCGTGAGCGATGAGCCCCAAACCGCACCCATCTCTCCCGCGCCCGATCAAGCCAGTCCCGATCGCTACTCCTAATCCCGCCTCCCAACCCAGCGAATACACCTCCCCTCTATATTCATGAAAGGAGGCGACACCGCCTGTTTGTGTTGCGACGTTAAAATAAACTTCAACACACACACACACAATCTCAAACTCATGTGCTTGCCGTCTGTCGTGTTGCTGAGCTGGAACCTATAGGCTCTGTGTCATTAATTATGGAGATCACCTCGCTCCTTTTATTCAGACAGGATTAGCTATCAATTGAGCTGACTTTCCTTTGCGCTACTGAAACTGTATATTTATCGCCTCTACCCACTTTCTCAGATATGTTCATGTACTGTGTGCATGTTTATTGTATATGACTAACATATGGCTATCTTTGGTAGGTTTCTGAAGATTATTTCGAACCCAAAACTCTGAGTAATAACAAAGAAGGACTTGGTTGTACCACGCTTGCTGTGTGAGAATTTTATTGCTGGGCCTGTCCACCGACCATAGAGAACCTACTTCTTCATGTCAAAATCCATACCACTATTTGAATATTAGAAAAGAGAGGACCATAAGTTTACAAGTTATCTGTTTTGTCCAGAACTAGCGATTATAAGCAAGATAATGGTGAGTCAGAACATGCAACAATTAGCACAAAACTGACTTATGTGATATTGACATTCAATGACCAGATGCTTAGCTGCCTAGCTGCATCACATCTTGTACACTTGTAAACTTATGGTCCCCTATTAATTTTTTCAACTTCAATCCTTGGCTCTCCATCCGAATATTTGAATACTTTCGTATTTCGAAATCCTTTATGATAATTCCCATTTACAACGCTCTCTCTATTATGCTTGCATGTTTCGCACTCTCATGTCATAAGTATTTCCTTTCTTCGTCATTCTGTGAGAGCTTCAATTCACTTGTCCCTGCAAGTAGGCAGAAACGCCAGTTCATTCTTGCGAAGTAAAATATAGTATACCAACCAACCATGCACTATACGCAGCCTGAGGATTATAGTGGACACCTGCCTAGTATCTATGTATCTATCGATCTCTCCCTTTCAGCTGCTTGCTTCATCTCAAGGGTAACACAATTCACTATCTTTTACAACAGGAGGACGCACGGGTAACGGTAAACTGACCGGGACACTGGTTGATGATCAATTTGCATGGGAATTCTTTCATTGCTTTGAAATCTCAAATACAGCACAAACAAACGTTTTAGAAGATGTTGGTATGAGTTTAGTATCGTTTCAATCGTTTCCGGCTTCGGGCTTCGAGTATCATGTGCACAGAGATATAACATCTGACTGGGGAAGTCTTAGAAAATATGGCTTCAACATACTCAACATGCAGTTCAGAATCCTCCCCCCCCCCTCCCCCCCCCCCCCCTACACATGCTGATGAGACCTAACAAAGTGGAAACGGCTAGCTGTCCAGGAGGTACAGCCCACTCTGCAGTATACATGTAGTCCGGTCAACACATGCCCAACACAACACTCTTCCCTGTCATATCGCGTCACCAGTACTACATACAGGTATTCTTCATCAGATCAGATTGCTGAACGGAATCAAATGAAAGAAACATCAAGTATAATTATTGCTTGCAAAGCGAAAGGAGGAAATATGGAATGCAAAAGTATAGTTTTCACTCAGTGACTGGGATGCAAATACAAAGTACTGTACATGAATTACCATCAAACGTGCCTTGGAAGACAAACATGTATACTACAATACCGGTACATCTACCCGTATATTAGAATTTCAAAGGCACAGTGACAAAAATTCAGGAGCAATCCAGGGGCAATCATGTTCGCTACATGTTAAAGAAAGAACAAGATGCATACTCGAAGTACATCATAATACACGCTACATGATTACATCATAATACATGATTGTATGTTTATGTCATGCATGCTACTGGGATTGTGTATACATAAATTGTACGTATCCATGGAATAAAAAGAGGAGTTAGGGCGGAGGCTGGAATGAAAGGTACACAGATTGGTTGGAAAGAATATTTTGGTTCTAAATGTGTCAATTATGATGCTTCTATACAAATGCAAACAACATGATTCAGCTTTGCATGGTGATTGAGACAGGATGCCTCGGTGCTCCGTGTAGTGGCAGGTTTGCACGATGCCTTTTGAGCCTCTCTACTGAAGTAGTTTAGGACGGAGCTGAGGCAATGCAACACATAGAAACGGAACAAGACACAACGTTTACCAACAGTGGCTAGTGAACGACAAAACTCGGAATTTCTGTACAAACATTAGCATACAATAATATTATTGCACCATTGCATGTTAGTGGCTTAGTGCATGTTGACGGCAGGACAATGACAGTTGCGATGAGACCCGACTAGCTCATCGAACATGTACTGTGTATAATTATGTATCACGAGCGAATCACAGAATTATAACAACAGTCAATTGCAGGGAGCAGCTCTCGGATTTATCGAACCTTAACTCCACAAGGAACCTGGGTGATGATGGCTCGATTCCTTTTCGTTTTCCGAATAGGCTTGGGTAAGCCAAGAGGGGTTACGACTGTCCTCTGTGTATTACAAGAAATAGAATAGTTTTACTTACGGACGCCCCACATGAATCCTGCGCATCCAACTGTCTGCCCACTCGCGTCAGTGAGGAACTTAATGGACATGGTGGAAGCACCAGAATCGATCACGCCTGGTTCAGCAGCTGGATCGTCGGAGCAGACCACAGTGTGTGGATTGGATGCAGCAGTGCTGACCGTCAATGAATCCTGACTGCATGTATTTCCAATAGGCAGGGTACATGGATGGAAGATGACGCTCACCGGACGACCACCAACGGCGCTGTAATCCAAGTTACACTCCATGTTCGGGTAATACTCGTTGTTGGCTATGTCGCGTCCGAATTGGAAGAAGGCAAACTGTCCATTGGTGTAGTCCTCCTGATGTAAGATCTGATTGACATCGCTACGGTTATGGCACGTCATGCTACCATACACAATAGCTTCTGTAGGCCTGCAATAGAGACACCACACCAATATCAACTTCAATAAGAAATAACTGCAACTTCAAGCTCTTACACACGATCATCAGGACTCTAGAACTGCCTAAACAAGTCTTCTTGCTTTCTCATCAAGTGAAAGAACCAATGAATAATACGAATTACTAGCAACACAAGGGTGGTAATCATCAAAAATATTTCAATGACAAAAGTTAAGCGAATAGATA